TTCAGCTCCTCATCCCTGGCATTGATCTCTTATTAATCGGCTTCTCTAGACTCCCCAGGATCATAGTCCTTACGGGATGAACAAGCAATGCTGGACCCTGACTTCTCCCTGGCAGTGAGCGTTTTGGTGGGAAGAGAGTGGGACTTTTCCTGCTGTCTAGCAACTGGTGCTTGAAGCCCAGACAGAGGCCAGAGGGAACTAAACCCCTATGGTTCTGAACAGCTGGTCAGTTGGGATCATACACCTCCCCTGGACTGTCTAAGATGTGGGCTACCTGCCTCTGCATTTTATTGACTAGTTAGATGTCTGCTGACACAGTAGATGAGCAAGTTTGCCCCTGTGCCCCCTGAGCAGGAATTGGAGCAGACTGCCTAGCCATCAGTTGGTTGCCAAGGAAACACAAGTTCTCCGGGAGTCTAGAAATAGCCAGGCTCAAATCCCCATGCCTGATACACTCAAAGAGGGCTAGGTGTCTGCTGAGGGGTCTTGGCACTTAAGAGACACTGAGGCTTCTGCTGAGGTGGAGAGACCAGCTCGCAGGTAGCTGTGCAGGAAGGCTGCTCAGGACAGACGTCTGAGTTGCTCATGCGGGTACCCTTTCCTGAAGAGCCCCAGACCAGGAAATCCTGGCAGGAGGAGCAGCAGAGGACACCAGCTGCTGGTCCTTAGGCAGAAGGATGTTTACCGCCTCTCCTCCAGTGTCATTCCCGGACCCAGTGCCCAAGGAGTGAGGTGTTGTTAAAGAGGAAGAGGTGATATTCCAGAAGTAGGCCACCTTCCCCCCTTCCCCAGGGGCCCTCCTCACCCCTGCGCTGAATAAAGGAAGATATTCAATTCATATGTTCGAGTCCTAAACCTTAGTGCTTCGGAATGTGGCTGTATTTGGACATAGGGTCTTTTTTTTTGAAATATAGTCGGTTTATAACATTTTGTCGATTTCTAGCGTACAGCATAGTGATTCAATCCCACACACACACACTTATATGTGTGTGTGTCTATATATATGTATTTTCCATATTCCTCCTCATTATAGGCTATTACATGGTATTGAGTACCCCCATTGCCCCCACCCCATCTTCAGGAAGCTTGCTCTGAGGTGGGGCGACAATGGATGTTGATGAGAAGGTCAAGAACTCTTTGAGGCTGATCTGGAGGACAGGACAAGAGGTGGAGGGGAGGACCATGAACAAACTGCCCCATCCGTCGAGGGATGTGAGGGAAGCGGGGGCATGGGGGAGTGGCAGCAGGGAGGTCTGTGGATGACAGGATTGAGGCGGGGCAGGATGGCTTAGCCAGAAGAAACGAGCCACCAAGAATTGTGGCATTTTGGGGAAGGATGGAGGACAGTCAGCCGGGACACTTACTGGAGTGAAGTGGAGGGGGATGGCCGGTGTGCTGGGCACTGAGCAGCCCCTACCCCTACCCTTTCCCTGGTCCTCAGGGAAGAGAAAGCAGTTGGAGGTTCAGCATTCAGGGAGAGACTGTGGATAAAGAGGGATCTTTATCCCGATGCAAAGGTCCACAGAGCCCAGAGGGAGGGGTGGTGTTGGAGGAGGGAGAAGCAGGCAGAGGCCAGAGAAGGCTCTGAACCCCATGGAATGTTCTGGACGACCTGGGCAGGATCTCAACTGCGTTAGATCTCAGTCTCTCCATAAGCATCTTCACAAGTCAGTGGGCCTCCCAGAAATTCAATTTACAGAATTAATTGAGTACCTACTCTGTGTTGGGCATGTGTTAAGAACCGTATGCGTAGCATTGACCAGGACGGTTGGGATCCTGCCTCGAGCCCTCATGTCCTGACAGTGCTTTAATGTCTGCGAGAGAAGACAGACATCAAATTGGGAATGATAAGAGTATGGAGATACAGGGTAGAGTACAGGATACCAGAGGGGATACCAGAGGGGAATGTCAGGGGAAATTTGTGTGGTCAACAGAGTCCCTGATGAAAACCTGCTCACTGACCTGGATTAGAGAAGTGTAGCCCCACAGAATCCTGAGCCCCAGGGAGGAGGAAGCGGACCAGCCCATCCTTAAATAAGTCACTCGCACACTCATGAGCCAGAAGGATCTCAAAGCAGCTCTTTGTTTCATGTTCCAGTCACTCCTTCTTATCCTTTCAGAGAATATTCACAGGAATGTTCAGGAATGGAGTCTCCACCGCTTACCTTGTCTTCTCACCCAGTGTCTCTTCAGCAGGTGTGGGTCTTCACTTCCGCTGTCCGGGGTGGCCCCACATATCCGCCCTTCCTGCAGGCCCTGGGTCCCTCCCCTTGAGGCCCTCCCTCTTTCCTCTTCTGGGCAGTCCAGTCCACAGGATCCCACCTCTTTTCCTCAACCTCCAGTTTCAGGTGGTCCACCACTCGGCTGCCCAGCACCCTGGCATCCTGGCAGCTGCCATGCAGTGAAGGCCTCTTCCCCGGCGCTCTGCTTTATTACACCAATTCTTTAAGTTCCATTTCACCAATGTCTGGAAGACAAAGACTGAGGATATAAATTAAATAGGTCCTACTGCCTCTCCTTTGGGGTTTCTATTGATTGTGACTTAATCTCTCAAAACAAATTGATGGTTTTAATATGAAACTGAAATACCAGGAGTCAGCAAAGAGATCATAGAATTGAGTGAAAAACAAATTTTTCCAGAAGTGGAACTTTTCTAACTCTCTGAATGGGGTTTGTTTGGGCCAGGGAAATGTTTTTCTTTCTGATATTGTGATACACAAGATATATACATTCATAAAGACTGAGAAAGCCAGAGAGTCTAAGCATGGTGAATTGGAAAAGAATCTGAAACTCCAATAAAGGTGGGATTGGGTCCCTGCTTAGCCTCCCCCAATTCATCCAGATCCCTGCTTGGCCCCAAATCACATATGGCCCCGCATTCCTTGGCCATGGTGAGCTCCCGCTTCACTCTGCTCACCGCAACCTAACGAGGCAAGGCCTGAAGTGGCAGGATTTGTAGCTCTGTAACTTCGTGTACAACTCAACCTTGTACCCTCTTCCCATCTCACTCTTGACCCTGGCCAAGGTTCTAATCCTGTGTCCCCGGGAGAGAGCCTGCGAGGGTGGGCAGCCGTGTAAACCTGGGTTTGAATTCTGACTCTGCCACTTAGTGAAAGACTTTAAGCAAGTATTTAATTTCTATGAGTGTCAGTTTTCTCATGTTCCGGAGATAATACTTCTGTTACAGCAGAGGCTCACCAAACCTGCTTCTTCCAGTCCACATAGCTAGGTCATTTTCCAGCCTCCTTTCCAATCAGGTATGGTCATATAACTGAGTTCTAATAAGGGGAATGGCCTGGCCCATAAAACTCCTCCCTCCCGATAGCCCCAAATCTCTCCCCATCCACTCACTTAACAGAGAGGGTGGGGAGACATCTAGCCATCAGTGACAGAGCTCTTGGCCGTTGTTATTTTTAAAATTCAGAGAGGAGAAATCTATCAAGTCACAAATACTAATCACTAATTTGATGCAGGAGAGAGAGATTTCAGAGCCCAGTCAGGGCCACTTTGCTCACAGTAGGTTAGGTGTCAGACTGTCCCTGAGGTAGGAGACCCTTGGTTCACGCTGTAGTAACAACAAAGAAGATAAACAACGAATTCTGATAAAGTACTTATGAGATATAGGCACTATTTAGCAAAGAGTATTCTGGGGGCACGGTTTGGGGTGGAAATAGCCATCCTCCTTGGTCACCCCCAAATCTTGAGATTGTTTCTGAAGCCTGGTATTGGCAGCCCTTCACACTAACGCTGAGCTCTGCCTGCCACTCACAGAGGCCTGAGGCGGAGTCAGCGCTACCTGAGCTCCTGGACCAGGGACGCACCTGCAGGTCAAGACCGCCCTGTCCCCACTGCCTGCCGCCTGCCGCCTGCCTGGCCAGCACCTCCAGCCCTCTGACTGCACCTGTGCGCGCCCAAACGCCACATGACCATCTCATCTCGCGGGCAGGGTCTACGAAGGGATCTTAAAATACTCTATTTGAGAAAATAGGCTTGAGACTTACTACAAAGGCTTCTAAAGGTGAAAATAAAAACCTAATCCTAGGGCTGTGATGTCTAAATGACATTTTAAAAGGAAGGCTCTCAAATTTGATGAGAAGCTGGAGAGCTTTCAAAGGAAGAAGGTTCAGTGCGGTTTAGGTTAATTGCATGTATCATCGGGGCTCCTCCGTGCATCCCACACCCTTCAAATGCCACTTACAGAGGAGGCACCTGAGGAGGTAAAGGCCTGAGCCTCAGTGTTTCTTGGGGAGCCTGGAGATGTTATGTAACTTCGAGCCCCAGGTCAACAATATAGAAGCAGCTCTCATTAGGGCAGGTCCCTTTGGTACCACTTGTGGAACAAAACTCATCTTTGAAGTGTAATTAGAGCCAACACTCAGTGAGTGCTCACTGGGTACCACCGTGCTAAACCCCTCACGTGGACCAAGCCTCAGGACTTGGACGTGAGGGTGCTATTATTACCAGCCTCACTCTACCACGGAAATGACCAACCTAAGAACCCCAGCTAAAAAGCAGAGTCAGGATCTGAAGCCAGCCAGTCTATCCTGAGCCGCTGCTGTCTTCACTCGGTACTAACAAGACAGCGGGGACATGCTAAAACGATACCAAAACCGGCACATTTTAAAAATATATGTCCCATTACTTTATAAATATACTCAATTCCTCCCCCAAGACTTTCCAGCAAGAAATGAAACATTGTGTCAATGCCACTTTATTTTTCACACAATGGAATAGTCTAGTAAATAGAGAGCAGGAGAATTCTCTTTAAATATTGTTCACGGAAAAAAATTTGACATTTGTTCAAAATAATTGATCGATCGCCTCATCTGATCCAGACGCCCTTTGCCACTGAATTCTGCAGACAAAAAGGAAAAATGTACAGGGGCATGTTATTATATAATGTATTTTAAATTGTACCTCAATTTGACATGTCATAAACGCCCATAGTCAGTACTTATAAGATTTGTTGTTGCCGTATCGGACCAGGCCATCCAGTCAGTGTGAGACCTGTGGTCCCAGGGAATATCTTCCCTGGCTTGGCCTGAGCGGCTGTGCTTCTGTAGACAGTTTCTCACGTACCTTGATCTGCCAGGGCCCTGGTTGGGGACAGCGGCCTCATGTCCTTGGGACTACATCACCATGAGTGACAGGAGTCCCAGAGCTGCCCATGAGCAGGGACATCCACCGCCAATGGCCAGAAGGCCAACAATCTCCCCAGATTTAACCTCTGGGTCAGAGCATCATTGAATGGAGGGAGGGGCCTTGCCTGGCTGTACTGGGAAGTGTTTCTACTACAGAGAACCCCTCGCCCCAAGCATGCCAGTGTGGAGTTTCCTCCTCAAAAGAGCCAGGTGAGAAGTCACACAAGCTGTGGAGCCTTTGTCCCCTCACAGCTGCTGCTGGGGACAGCACACCTGAAAAGGAGCCAGCGCGAAAGGGAAGGCTGATTGTTTGGGGCAATGCCAGGCTGTGGGTGGGGGTTCTTGGTGGTGCTGAGGGCAGGAAAGGGAGGGGCAGAGGTCCCCAGGGGTTCCACATGGTCCCCATTTCTTGAAACTGTCACCCTTCTCACTCCCCCACATCAGACACATAACATTCTCTTGGAGGAGACTTGCCGCAGTGAGGCTGACCTTCGCCTGTCCTACCAGATGTTAATGTCAAGGTTTCTTCCATTCCTTGGCTGGGAAAAAAAAAAAAAGATGGA